TATATATCTCTGGATTTGGTCTGGCCCCTGCCATACTACCTGGACCTCACCCACAGAAATGTTTGTATACAGTAGCTTTTCCCCTATATACCCTATATAAGCTTTTTTAAGCTTAGGGTTTCATTTAAGATTGTGGTCTAACCATTTTCATAAAGCTCCCTGACTCTTCTCAGGCCACTCTGTTGTCCTTCTCTAGAAATGCCTGTCCCACCAGCTCCTCCTCACTTGGAAATCATAAGATTCACTGACTCTCTTTTGAATGTCCTTGGAGCCTGCTCCCCAGGGAGCTCTCCCCTGGGTTGGACATGGCTTTCTTGCTCATCATCCTGAAATAGTGCTATGTATCAGCAGGCAGACCTCACCTTCTGTGGGCTCAGTTGACCTGATCTGGCTGAAATATAAGAATGTGCTCTATGCATATCTGCCAAGTATGTTTCCTGAATGAAGGTGTTTCTCCTAACTTGTCACTCCATTAAGCTCTGCCAAGATTGTGAATCAGGCTTGGAGACAGAAAGACCTAAAGACCATTACTAATCAACAATATTTAGCCCTCTCACCATGGGAAAAAAGTCCTGGTCAATTAAGTATTAAACCTCTAGTGCAAGTGGTTCAAATGTAAGAGCTACTTTAAGGAAGAAAGATGAGGCTACCTGCTCGTGTAACAATGTACAGCCTCCAAATCCCTAGAGGGCAGTTGTGCTCCGTCCCATAGGGTTGTTATGAGCTTGAATTGACTCAGTGGCCGTGGGTTTTCACCTTGGGGAAGCCACTGCTTCTCAGACTCTCTGTCAATAAAATGGTGATGATTTTGCTATGGTTCATGGAATAAATAACATCATTTTCTAGAAATTCTTAGCATGATGTGGAAAATTGGATGGTGATGCATGCAGACCTACAAGGAATCCTGGTGGTGTAATGGTTAACCACTGGGCTACTAATTCAAAGGTTAGCAGTGCAAACCCACCAGCAGCTCTATGGGGAAAAAAAACCTGGAGCTGCTGTCCCAGTGAAACCATGTAGGGTCACTGTAAGTGAGAAGCAACAAGGCAACACACAAAGATTTACATTCACATGTGAGTGTTACATATAGAGCATTATATATACAGTACAGATATGCTTACATACAATATATATGTATATATA